GATCCTTCCAGCATCCACCGTCAGGTGATCAGATCATAAAAGGCAGAATCTTGCTTGTTCAGGCTATTTATTCGAGTTCGATGACGATTAGCTGATGGTTCAATTGGGTGATTCACATGAGGGGTCAATTTTCCATCCAATGAAAATCACTTTCGCCGTTGCGGGTTTGACCTTCAACCCTTAAGGTTAATCGGACTGAGGTGACCATCCTTTTTCAGGCTTTGGCGTGAGTTCTCTGTCTAGACAATGCATTTCCAGCAAGGGACGATACTCCGCCTTGCTGTCTACAGGGCAAAAATGAGGGGGGGAATGGTATTATTTCCTCAAGGTTGTTCGGTGGGATGGTTGACCGCAAATAGCATGTTCGGGGGGTGAGCGAACTGGTGCAGGAATGTGATATCACAAGGGAACTCACTCGTGCAGAGCGACTTCGGGGCAACTTGAGGGGAGGGAAAGGAGTTATTATACAAGGGTTTCCAAGGGCGGCTTTACGATATAAGAAATTTTACAAAGTCCAGCCTCAGATCGTCACACCACGCTAGGCTTATAGTCATCGATTCACATATAAACTATAGTGTTGTCTAAGCCTATTGATATTTATATAACTTAAATAAGGAAAAATGAAATGGGGCCCCCGACCCTAGAAGAATGGATATTTTGAGTTCAGTACCCTTCAGTATTTGAATATGGATAATCAAGTATATGTGTTCTAATTTTGGTCAAGATCCATCCATTCGCGTAGGAGTATTTGTTTATAACTATTATTGCATTAGGACTTATTGCTCACTAAGGAAAAATAACGAATTTTGGGCCCCCGGCCCCAAACGAAATGTTATAAAAAGTTCATAACACCTTAAGAGTTCCTTCCAGATAATGATAATGATATATCTGCCAAGTTTGGTCAAGATCCATCAATCCATGTAAAAGCCTTTGTGGAACAAACCCACAAACAAACATTCACTTATATATATATATATATATTATTGTTCGTCCGTCGAGGATAGACGAGGACCATCGAGTCGTCTGGTGACTGATGACTTGCGCGGGTGACTTTGTTTAAAGTGAAGAAGAGTTGCGCGGCGTCTACCTTACTCTCTCGTCCGAGCCCACCATATCCAGTGGCAAGACTCTACGTCAAGACGACCAGGGATGGGTACGGTTGCAGGAATTGTCATTGTTTGCGCCTTACGGGACTCCAACTCCGGGTTTGAATTCAGAGTTTCCTTCTCTTAGATGAGTTGCCGACCAAGGTTAACGAGTCTCATCCACCCGGGTACATACATACATACACACATGCATACAGCTTGGAGGGTACTCCGAATATATTCAAGACATTGGTATGGGAAATATCTCATATATATACAAACATTTGCTTGCGTAGTAACTTAGATATATAAACATTGGCTAGGGATTTTTTTGCTGTCGTACTAAGATTTATTGTTTATTATTAAAAGTATTATTATTATTTAACGGTATTTTTAAAACTTAAGCCAACGACACTATGTCTTTTTGCCGAAAACTATGTCCTTTTTCCGAAAACTATGTCCTTTTTCCGAAAACTATGTCCTTTTTCCGAAAGACAGCCCTTGTCTCATAGCTGTTTAACTGTTTGTTTATATAGATTAAGGAAAATGATGCACACAATTTCAAAATACCAGAAACGGTCGAATGGACTTTTAAAAAATTAATTATTGAAAACCACTGTTGACAACATACTCTGATGCTTTCCTTCCAGGGTGAGGTCTACTGGAAGGATGACCGGCGGGAAAGCCCGTTTTCTCCGGCCCCGATACCCGCGTGGACTGACGCCAGCAATATGTTGTACCTCTGGCTGACAGAGTACACGGCCGCGACCTTCGCCTACGTGGCTCAGCGGCATGGCTACCTGGTGTACAACTTAACACAGAAAGATGTAAAGTTCTTATGTCTCGATGGTCTTGTCTGAATGAATCATAATCAGGGTTCGTGTGAATGGAAAGGCTTTTCCCTCTGCTTGTCTGGCTGAGAGCCTGTTTGTCAGTTGAGGAACTAATGTGTAAAGCTTGAAGCAGCAGTTGAAGGGGTCAGTTTTGCCAGGGATGTGGTGGGTGACGGTGATGTTTAACCCCTGGAATGAATTGATGATGAAATGTGGTCGACTATTTGGCTGTACAAACTGGTATTTTAAGTGTTTCATATTTTGCCAACAGCTTCCTGATGATAGCAAGTCTTTTCTCAACACCACCTGCGCACTTAAGTGCATTGGAACTCTCATACCGCAGGTAACATTGGAACTCTCATACCGCAGGTAACATTGAAACTCTCATACCGTAGGCAACATTCGAACTCTCATACCGAAGGTAACATTGGAACTCTCATATCGCAGGTAACATTGGAGCTCTCATACCGTAGGTAACATTGGAACTCCATTCGAACTCTCATACCGCAGGTAACATTGGAACTCTCATACCGTAGGTAACACTGGAACTCTTATACCGAAGGTAACGCCTGGGCAGTGTATATTTTGTGGTTTTACCTGCATGGTTGCGAGCCCTACCATGTGGCGATTCATCCCAACACATCATTTATATATATATATATATATATGCTTTTTTTAACTCATCAAATAGCTGAAATGTGAACATTTTTGGATCCGTTTATTTCGATATAAGGTTGATTTCAAATCTGTTCATTAGGTTCATTGAAGAAGCTTTCGTACATTAAGTTGCTGCAGACATTTTGGGGTAATTTCAGATAGTGTTGTTTTTAAAAAAAAAAAAATTAAATTAATTTCTATTTTAGATAGGACAGAAATTTCCCAATGCCGTGGTTGAAATTCACATTAACTCCACATCCACACCCGTGGTCAAAATTAGCAACGCAAGCCTCGGTCTGACCCTCAAGGGGGACCTGAAGATGGTGGCCAAGATTCCAGGTGGTCAGTCTGCCTACCTGCTCACACTCAACATGGTAAATTCATTAGTCTGTCCGTTCAGATATTTAACACGGTAGGAGGAGACAGAATCTTGTGTATGTGTGTGTGTGTGTGTGTTTGGGGGGTGGGGGTACTTCGAACAAGTTAGGTAACAAGAAATAAGTAACATAATGAAGGGGGAAACCTGACAGAAGAGCACAGCGAAACAATTGACGCAGAAATTCGTCTTTTTGAAGTACACAATATTGTCATAAAATTAATGATAAATGTATGACTTTTGACTTTAATTGATATATATATTTACTTTTACTTTTCGTAACATGCAAGTTTTTTTGTTTAAAGAGACTTTGTTTTATTTTGATTTATATACTATTCAAACATTGAAAAGATTTTTACCTGAAATGCAGTGGCGTAGCTAAGGTTGGTGTCACCCGGTGCAGTAAAATCATGGTGACCCCCCCCCCCACGACTTCCACAATGGATTTCTTCTTGTTCAAATAATTCGACATCAAAATAAACACACAAAAATGACATTGACAAAAAACCAAAAAAAAAATTGAAGGTCAGTAAGTAAATGCAATTAAGAACTGTAACAACGTCAAGTTATAGTTATTTTTACAATAAATTTACTTATTTAAAATTTTCCTTACCTTGTCTTCAAAGCTGCAAACCTGTCAATTGTGCTCAAATGTTAAGGGGCGGGCTAGTAAAAAATCAGCAAAAATAATGCATTTTTGAGTATTGATGGGTTTTGATATATTTAGTTTCAAAAACTATTTTAAAAAAAAATTAAATGAATTTAAATTAATTTTTAAAAGATATTAGAAATTTTTGTGAAATATTGTTTTGTTAGCATACCTTATAAATCGGTAAAAGTCATTTTTTATGTTTGTAATTTTTACCGATTCGATTCATGAACTTAAAATCGCCCGACTACATCATATTTTGATATCCATGGAAAGCTTTATTTCTCAGAATTAAGATAAATATAGTTTCCTTCAACTTACGATAGTTACCGAGCACCTCATTTGGCGTTGTATCCATTTATTTTATGAAATTCGTTTAGATCAAGCAGTTTGTGTTCTGTAAATATGTCATCATTTCAACCTTGTGTCACCCCCCTGAAATGGCGTCACCCGGTGCGGTCCGCACCCCCCCCGCACCCTCCTAGCTACGCCATTGCTGAAATGTATGACTGAACATTTTATTTCTGTAATGTTTTGGCGGGTTTCAGCTATTTTAAATATAACAATTGAAAATGAAAACAACAACAACAAAAAAAACCCAACCCTTCCTATTTGTCTAGAGTCTATCTCTCGTTGGAGACGCATTCATTGCTAACGAGAAGGTGGGAGGACAGATTGACGGCAACAGGTCTGTTCTTGTTGACATTATTTTGTTTGATCTAAGTCTGCAGTTAACACACATGGACATCGCCCATGTTAAACTTCACTTGTTAGATAGAACATGAAACATTTATATGTATTAGTAGCGTCACTACGGGGGAGGGGGGGGGGATGTTTGCAACAAAAAAAAAGTGTGGGTGGGGGGGGGGAGGGGGGGCCCGATCGCATAGCTTGACCCCAACCCTGGTGACGCCTTTGATCTTTTTGCTAAATT